GTATGTATAAAAGTATTCTTATTTTACAGAGGCACACAAATGTTCCAGGAGGAGATATATAAGTCATCCATAAGGGATTAGAAAATACTGCAGCAAACCGTCTATTGAAGCAAATATGGAAAATGTTAGTAATTGTTCATAAAAGTGATGGGCTTATGGCATCTAATGTTTCTGCACCGCCCTGTCGGTTGGAAGTGATGTTTGCCCGCAGAGCATGGTGCTGTGACTTGTCCGCCCAACAGCGTTGCTTGCTGAGCGTGGAAGGAGCCGCTTTATCATGCTCCAGGAACAGGCGCTTTCTGTATCCACGGGCTTTACAAGAATGAAGCTGTACTCCGCCCTCCACCTCCCCACGGTCTGATTTTGTGACTCGGTCCGTGATTGTAGGAGGTGAAGTAGTTCCACAGTAAAACTAAAACACATGGAATCTTGCAGCTGGTATTTTAAACATTTTGCTTCAAACTCAAGTTTTAGAAAATAATACTGTTCAACTACTGTTACCCAAGTCCTTTTCTTTCCTTTCACAATGTATCTTGTGCAGCTCAGATGAGCCACGTCAGGTGCGCCCAGGTCGCCTTGTCCCCGTTTGGAGATTCTTCCCTCTGCGCAAGTTTGTACACCGCCTATGCCAGGATCCAGGACTGCCAAGTCTGTTCCCTTGGGGTGTTTTGACACCCAGGCCCTAAAGTTAATCATGTTCCTATTTCAGTGAAAACAGTTCACACGACCTGGCTACTGATGGAACAAAACATGTTGTTGTGTGTTTCTCTCCACCTACACTTAGCTTGTAATTTCTGTCTCTTTTTATTACTCTTATTTTTTCGTTCACACTTAGTGTCAGCAGTTGCAGATTTAATAGCAAAAGAAATCCTCCTGTCCCCTTTCCCCAGCTGGGAAATAATGGAGCCTCATTTGTTTCTTTTAAACAGTGCTCAAATGGGCATAGTTTTGATCTTGAACTGTGGTTAAAAATAAAGCCCCACTAGGTCATCGTCACCTGGAAACAGCCATCATAAGGCGCCGGAGGTGCTGCAGGCCAGGTTGTACTAGGGTTGGGTGCTTGGGACTAGAAGTCCAGCGTCCTGTCTCTTGCTGCTCAAAAACTGCAGAGGTATGAGAAATAATTTCTATGGAGAGATTTGACAAGCACCAAATACGTGCCGTGGACTGCATCTGCGGGGTGAATTCACACTCCAAACACTGACTCCAGCGGAGCCCCTCATGGCTTCATGGAGGACATGAAATGGAATCTGAGTCCTCAGAAAGAGGTGACACTGTGACACACAGAAAGCAGCCAACGCCATTTCCCTGTGGGGCTCTTAAGTAAGTCCTTGAAGAAGCAAGGAGTGCTGGGGTACTGCAGGCAGTTGTGTACCTCGGGGTGGACACCAAGGTCCTGGGGAGTGATTTGAGCACGGCTGTTTTAGGAGTTCCATCTGACAGTGGTGACCAGGGAGGTTGCAGGTGGGAGCCACTGACTGACACAGAGATATCAATTAGCAGGTCACCGGAAGTCATCTGTAGGAAAGAGAATGCAAGTATAAATTTGGATAGGATGGGAGGGAGGGATTGTTACAAGATATGTTGGAAAGGAGTGATTAGATTTGGTGACTGAATATAGGTCGTCCTTGAAAGAGAATAGTGAAGGTTGCATACCCTTGCATCATTTCACTGATGTAAGTAGTTAAATTTAATATCTCATAGGACTCACTTTAGAACCTTTGAAAGAAAGCTTGTAATTCATTAATAATTTGTAGGGAATTGAGCCATTTCCTTACTTCACTAAGCTTTTACATGGTTCCTATGAATGGTGGTTTAGTTTGGGCTACTTTTACAAAAACAACATACGGTGTTGGGTGGCTTAGGTCACAGCACATTCTTTCTCCTGGCTCTGGAGGCTGAAGGTTCAAGGTCAAGGTGCCTGCGGCTTTGGTGTCAGGTAAAATTCCTCTTCTTGGGTGGCAGAAGCCTGGGTTGCAGCCTCCTATGGTGGGGAAATGCAGCTCTAGTCTCTCTTCTTACACTAAACTGCATGCTGGGAATCCATTCTCATGACTTCAGCCAAATCTACTCATCCCCAGGGCCTAATACTATCCTATCCAGGGTTAGGGTTTCAACATACAAGTTTTGGGGGATGAGAGAGGAGACCACCCCTCCATATGGAATTGGGCAACTATGGGTTAGCTGTGTTATTAGGCAAGGATCGGTTAACTGTGTTACTAGGCAGCTATGGGTTAACCAGGTAACTATGCTCTTTGTAGAATGTACCTGAGCAGCCATGACAACTTCTGTAATCTGTCACCAAAGGAGCAAAATGGACTCAAAATCCTGCCAGAACTCTTTGCTCCCTACCTCTCCACTGCTCTGCTTTGTGTAAATCCTGCTTGCTATATTCCCAGGGAAACTCCAATGGAATTAAGCCTTGTATATGTAAAAAGAGATATATAAGGAAGTGCAAACTTCTATTCAGGGCTCTTGAGACAGACAGGAGTCACTTGCTGAGCCTCTGGTATCATTAAAAGCCACCTTTTGCTCCTATCTTTGTGTTAAAGAGTTATCTGTGCCAGGGTCCTCACTGTTTCCTCCTTCAGGGAGACACCAACATGCAGTTCCTAATGGATGACTATTCACTTCCACCACCCTTGACTGCCTTTTAACTGCCTCTAAAAGTCCTGAGGAGATTCTGTGGGGAGCATTGGAACCTGAAATGTTAGATTTCGGGCTTCCTGGAAGGTAAAATGGAAGATGGAAATGTACTTCTGAGAAAATGGAAAAGTACTTCTGAGGAAAGAATCACAGTTTTGGAAGAGGAACCCAGAGGGAGACCCAGGCGGACAGAGTCCTGCAGAAAGTCTGCCTTGGGAAGTTCAGAGTCTTGCTGATGTTCCCTATCCTGGGGAACCATGGCAAGGGGAACCATAGGTGGGACCCACACAGGTAAGACTGTGGGGGCAGAGTGTAGAACTGAAGGTGTAGATGGTGCGGGGTCACTGTTGGCATCCCCTGTGCAGAAGGTAACACAGCACAGTGGAGTGTTGAAGGGATATGGGTGCTTGGAGGGAGCTTCAATTACAGAATCTAGAGCTGGAAGGATCCTGAGAAATACATCTCCTCCTCATTTTAGATAATTTTTAAAAAATTAATTTTATTGGTATACTTTTGATATACATAATGATCACATTCATGGTAGTGAATTTGCACCTGTACATTACATATCTTGCTTCTTTTTTTCCCATTCACCTCCCCCTTCAGCCCTTCTTTCCCTCCTTTATAAAAGCTTTGTTTTCACTTTTTTCCTTCTATTCTCTTTCCCCCCCTTTCCCTTCCTTCCTTTTCTCCTTCCCACTCCCTTGTTCCCTTTCCCATTTGAACAATGTCTTCCTGCTTTCCAGTATCTATCATCCATTTTGGTCCTTATTTACCCTTTCAGTTTCTCACACAAGAGAAACAATGCCATATTTAAACATTAAACTGTTTATTTCACTAAAAAGTATGGTTCTAAGGTGCTTCCATTGACCCCCAAATATCTTAAGTTTATTCTTCTTTATGGCAAAGTAGTACTCCATTGTATATAAAAAACACATTTTCTTTGTCTATCCATTGATGGGCATCTGGGCTGTTCTCAAGATTTAACTATTACAAATTGTGCTGCTATAAATGCATATGTCACTGTGGTATGATGCTTTTAACTCAGGAAGATAACAAGAAGGGGAATAGCTGGGTCATATTGAACCCCTAGTTTTAGTTTTTTGAGGACTCTCCATACTAATTTCTGTAGTGGTTGTGCCAATTTACACTCCCATCAACAGTAGAGAAGGGTTCCTTTTCCCCCACAGCCTTGCCAGCATTTGTTATTGGTTGATTTTTTTTTTTTTGGTACTGGGGATAAAACTCAGGACCTTGCACTTGCGAAGCAGGCGGCACCACCACTGAGCTAAATCCCTGGCCCAATTTTCCCTACTCTTAATCTCCACTGTTCCTAGAATTCATTCTTTGATTTTAGAGAGCTATTGTTTTGGATGTTTAGCAGGTTGGGAGTTGTATTTCCCTTGTTTGGATTATTTTGGTTATTTGGTACCCTATATCACTATCTTGGCAAATTTCAAACTAGGAGCCAACAGCTAAGGTGGAGCTGGGGAGACACATGCAGCACTGTGCCAGAAGGGGAAGAGATGGAACTCCCAAACATGCTAGATATCCAAAATGCGAGTTTGGGTTCTCTAAAATTGGGAAGAATGAATTCTAGGAACAATGGAGGTTAAGAGTAGGAAAATTTATTGAGAAAAAGATAGCTTTTGTGTAAGAGAGACAGAAGGGGGACCTGAAAGTGGGTTGCCCCTGGTTGATTTCTTGATGATAGTCATTCTTTCTAGAGTGAAATGGAATCTCAGTGTTGTTTTAATTTGCATCTCTTGAATGACCAGTGATGTTGAACATTTTTTTCATATATTTATTTGCTATTTGTACATCTTCATCTGAGAAATGTCTGTTCATTTCACTTGCCCATTTTTGGATTGAGTCTTTAAATTTGGGGGAGGGTTGATTATTTTCAGTTCTTTATGTATTCTAAATATCAGTCCTTTGAGGAATAATTGGTAAAATTTCTTTCCCATTCTGTGGATTATGTCTTCACTCTGTGGTTTCTTTTGCTGTTGCAGAAGCTTTTAATATGATGAGATCCCAGTTGTTATTCCCCATTTTAGTTAATTTTTAAAAGTTAAAAAAATTTAATTTTCAAGTTTTATTGGGCTCTTATTTTTTAAGATTATAATAATGCAGTATTTAAGAGGGCATATAAATAGGTAAGTATATTAACATGTGAACATATATAAGGCAGTGATGGTGAAGCTTTTAGAGCTTTCAGTGGTAACAAACAGCCCACCACAGCCCGGGGGGTCACAGGTTCACCACCACTGGTCTAAGGTGTTGGTGAGAAGGCGGATGAAGGGGCCCCGAAGGTCCTTCCCATGTCTTGCTGAGCTCCCTCCCTCTTCCCACAGTGCCTGTCTTCAAGCTCTACCAGCGGGCCAAGCACGTGTACAGCGAGGCGGCCCGGGTGCTGCAGTTCAGGAAGGTCTGCGAGGACAGCCCAGAGGATGCGGTGGCGCAGCTGGGGGAGCTGATGAACCAGAGCCACCGCAGCTGCCGGGACCTGTATGAATGCAGCTGCCCCGAGCTGGACCAGCTGGTGGACATTTGCCGGTGAGCAGCGCCCGGGCGGGGTGGGACCTTGGGGTCCCCACGGAGCACTCTTGACCCAAGCCAGAAAGAGCAGCCCTTTCCTCGTCTTCTACATTGAAAAAATGTTACTTTTACAATTTTTATGACTGCATGTTTGCAGTACACAGTAACAACACATATTCTGGGGAGTTGGTCCATGCACAGAACACAGCTCAGTTCTTGTTTTTATGCCTCTGTTCTTCCTCTGTGAGGGCCTTCCATGTATCATGCCAGTCTTGTTCTCTGCTGCTCAGCTGTAGGATGGGAAGATTCCAGCCCTGCTGTATTCCATCATGAGGCGCCCAGTCTGGGTCTCGTCATGGCTACCAGGCTGCCCTTGAACTCACTATGTAGCCCAGGCAGGCCTCGAACTCACTGCGGTCCTCCCGAGTGCTGAGATTACAGGCGCGTGCCACCACACCTGGCTGGAGTCAGTTCTTCACGACACTGTAAGAGACAGGAAGGCAGCTTTTCTCAGGTTCTGCCATTCCTTGCTCATGTTCTAATGACCATGCTGCTGCCCTGCTAAGTGTCCTAGTAGATTTAGGCTTGACAGGATGGGAGACTCAGAAGCAGGTACATCGTGCCTTCCAGGGATGGTTGAGGCAATTTGGGCGCAAAGGCGACTGAAGAAAGCACAGTGGATAAATGGTGGAGAGAGACAGACATGTAAAATGCTTTCACAAAACCTGGAAAGAGCTTCCTTATAACCCTGACAGAATGGGGACAGCAGAGTGGCTCCCTCACCCCAGAGGCATGGCGCTGACCTCAGGAGAACTGAGAGGGCAATCAGGCGAGCGCAGAAGCAGCCAGAAGCTGGTGCGGAGCTGCCCACGGTTAGCAGCCGGGAGCGGGCACGCGGCGCACAGCCTGTCCGGACTCAAACGCTGATGAGAGACTGCGGACGGACGTCAGTGTGCGCCCTGGTTGCCAGAAAGCCTGTCCCGGGAGGGCAGCCACACTCGCTCTTTGTGGGGTGAGGTGGGGGAGCCTCGAAGAAAGCCCAAGTGTCAGCCTCAAGCGCGCCAGCCGAGAGGCGGAGGGCGGAAGTGCACAGAGGGCACCGGAAGTGGCTCGGCCATGGGCGGTGAGGCGACGAGGCGTCGGCAGGGGAGCTGCGGCCGTTGCACAGGGCCCTGAAGGCTGCGGCGGACTCTGCTTGCGGGAGGGAAGGGCCCGCGCCGCGCCGCGCCGCGCCGCACGAGTTAGTGGTGCCAGGCTGGCCTTGCAGGAAGATTCCAGGCAGTGGCTGCGTGGGAGAAAGGGCTCAGAGCACTCCTGGGACTGTGGCCGAGAAGCCGCGTTTCTCCGGAAGCCACATCATTGGCAGCCGTTCTTCCAGATTCTGCATCTGAAGCATCCTGCTGCGTCATAGGATCATGGAGCAGGGCAGGGGCGAAGGACCCCCAGCGGTTCCGTTCCCAGGATGGGGCCGTAGGAGCTGGCGCCAGCCCAGCCCTCGCTGCTCCTGCCCTTCTGCCAGCCTGTACCGCGATGCGGCCACACGCGAGAGCCAGCTGGCCCTCTCGGCCTTGAGGCCTTGCCCTGAGAAGCCTCAGCGGTCATCGCCGGCGCTTCAGCACGGAGCACGGCAGGCTGGCCAGGGCCGTGGGTACAGTGGGGTGCACAGAACGTGCTGAACTTGGGGCATTGAACCCGCCTTTATTTATTTTAAAACCCTCTTTGTTTGGGGAAAGCCCTTTCTTGATGACAAAGTGTTTCTGACTAGAAAAATGAAATTGTTTCACCTATGGTTTTAATTTTCAGAAAAAAACCCAGTTGTGTCCAGTGTAAGGTGGTCCACCCCCCTTTCCATAGTGGTTTTGTTTGGAAAACCAGCTGCTGAGTGTCACAGTGAATTTCTACTTAGTCCATTGCCAGAATTTCCTGTATTGAAAGATTCTCTTCTAGCAACTTGCAAGTGTTGGCCAGAATAGTTCCCTGGTTCTTAAGCTTCATGTATAATTTATGTTTCCTTTGCTGTCCCCCTGGCCAGTAGATAACACCCTGCAATCTTCTGGTTGGTTGGCATTGGGAAAGCCCATGTGAAAGAGGCCAGGCCCAGGACAGCAGCTGGGAGGGAGTAGAGCAGCCAAGGATGCCCTTCCTCCCTGTGTGGTTCTCATGTGGACAGTCGGACATTGTGGGAAACTGAAGTCTAACCTCAGCATCAAAAGCAGTGGCCCTGTCTTTTATGTGGATATTTGAGAAGTGATAAGGCAAGAAGGATGGGTTCAGGAGACTGTGAAAGATCGTAGGGATAAAACACAGGGTGGCTAAAATCTGGGAAGACAGATGGTGGAAGAGTGGAGGGTAGGAAGCATGGGAAAGGCTTGGAGCACAGTGGAGACCCTCTCACACCCTGTTCCTTCTGAAGCCCTGTGAGCATCTCTTGGTGGGTGGAGGAGTTGTTGGGGCTCTGCCTGGCCTGATGTGGACCACTGGTGCTGTGAACTCAACCACTGGTGTGGTGCTGCTTTGTTCAAGAACAACACCACCTCCAGTCTTGCCTCCCATGCTGGGCATCCTGAGTAAGTTGGTCATCCTGGGAGACAGCAGATGGAGGACAGTGACATGAGCTCAAGGAGGAGCTCAGTCCAGGGCAGTCTTGCTCCTCATCCACGGTGGCATCTTGATACTCCTGTTGGCTCTGAAGGCTTCTTGGAACCTATTTGTCTGGAAAGATATCTCTGTCAGTGAGTGGATGGAGAAGGACTTGAAAGCCTGGAATACCCAAGACAGTAGAGACAAGTGCAGCTCTTCCCTCGGTTGTGCAAGACAACTCAGAGGGCTGAGAAGACCAGAAGAGAAGAACGGATGGCTCCTGCTTGCTGGTTGCTTGGAGCCGAGCCATTTCCTGCTCTGCAAGAGAAAATCAGTTTCGAATCCCAAGCAAGGACCAGGAAGCAAGAAAAAAATGACACTTTCATAGTTGGGCTGCTTTTTAAAAAAAAACTCATGTTAGAATTTTATGTGAAGCAAAATAATGAAGGAAAAACTGATGTTTGGCCAGTTATAAAGTCTCTTTCAAGTAAACAAAAGGTAAGTTTAAAGAAATGGCTAAATTTCAAAGATTTGCTGAGGAACATAGAAAATTTTGAAACCAAGTGAGTTAGATGTGAGACAACTCATTTATTACCGGTTCCCTGAAATTTATTGAAGTAAAAATAGTTAATGTCTTTTAGTTCTGTTTTGACACTTGTTGAAATCAGAGAAGATTCATTGCTGTATTATTGCCCAAGCTATTAAGGAGGACAAATAACAATTTTAATGAACGAACTACAGTTACAAAATTTAGTTTGCTGTGTCTTCCTCAGAAGTCTTCTCTTGGCTTTGTCCTCTTGGGCCCGTTCTCCTGATCAGGTTGCAAGGGAGGATGAGCACAAGTCCATAGCTGTGCTCTTATCTGTGGCCGGAAGTGCCACTCGGCTACCTTGCCGAGAGAGGGACAGTGCCAAGGAGTTCCACAAGACTCGCTTCTCTGTGGGTCCCACTGCTGAGGTTCGGTGAGAGCAGCTGCCCTTCAGCAGCCTTTGGTGGCTTCCACTCCTAGAGTAGACCTGTAAGCGCATTTTCTTACTCTTTCTGGTTTGAACAGTATTTGAATGCTGTGATTTCTGGAATCTCAGGCAATCTGAATGTGTTGTTTCTATCCTGACTGTGAAAGCCATAGGAATTTTTTCCTGAGATTCTCACCAGTTTCCAGAGAACAGAGCTGAAAGTCTTACCAGGTGAAGAATGTACTACTAACTGCTTATATGTATGTATAACATATACTTGTACATTTTAAGGCAAATATAATCATCCAGCAGCCATTTGTTAGAACCAGATGCCTGGAATTGTGCAGAGCTGGAGTTAGAGAGATGGCTATGATCTGCCCCTAAATTCAGAACTTCCTGAAGCAATTTAATATCCATTCCTGTAATAAATAAATATTTACTTATTTTGAAATTGTACTGAAATACAAGGCATAGTTTCTCACCTCCCTCTTCCTGGTTTGTAGAACAGATGGGTCTTTCTGGGTCTCCTGCATCCTTTGCGGCTCAGAAGCTTTACTGACAAATCAGTTCATTTAAGAGTAGGACATTTTAGGCAGGCTTTCTTGATGCCTGGACAGTTAATTCCATTAATATACATTTTGGTGACAAAGGACCAAAGGGAGCTCCCCATGGCCTTCATCTTCCATCTGCCTGGCTGTGTAAGGCAGAGACTGCTTCTGCCCCTGGGACATTCTGGGACAACACCCCCAACCCAGGCAGCACAATCGAGAACATGGAGTTTGGTGGGTTTTAGGGCTGTTTTTTGTAACTTGTGCATTGTCTCTCCGATGTACCATAGCTCAGGAGGTGTATTTCTAACATTTCACTGTTCTCTCACAGAAACATTTTGAATGTGGAAAGGTTGGCACCCACCCTGTGTCACCTACGTTACTTTTCTGACTCAGGCTGGTCTGAGCTGCCCAATTTTGCGTCTCTTGGGAGTTTTGGTGATGTAGGCCTGAGGGACCTTCGGAGGGCTTCTGCCCTGGGTGTGTGGGGCTATTCCTAACAGCTGCATGTGGGGAATTGGAGCTCTAAGGTGTTTGGACCATGTGGTCGATGCATGCAGACCATTTTGCTTTGCAGCAGCAGGTGGGGTGAGGAGAGAGAAGATCTGGGGGTTGGAGTGAACCCATTTACTTGGAAACTGGTGGGCTCTCGGGAAAATCGGCCTGCTTGGCCCGATTCCTATGGGCACTGCAACTAGACTAGAAACAGTGCCCTCCGTTTGCTGTAGGTTCAGTTTTGAAACCACTGCTTTAAAAGATTGTTCAGATGACGGAGTGTAAGACAGCTTGACTAGTCCACTGAAGGTCATCAAGGCTCCGTGAACTGGGTTCAACAAAATGGTACAGATGGGGTCACAGGGCACCTTGTCCTTCTCCAGACCAAGCCACAGTTGCCCTCGATGCCCAGATTTTAGGGTCTTTTAAAGATGATTCAAAGACATCTCAGTTTCTCCATGAATTGTCCACCACGGGAGATAGTTTTTGATGTGACTATATAGTACAACTCTTTTCCCCCCAATTAACAAACTTAAACATGGCCTGTAATCCCAGCACCCAGGAGGCTGAGGCAGGAGGATGGCTGAGAGTTCGAGGCCAGCCCCAGAGCTACATAGTGAGACTCTGTCTCAAACAAAAGAAAACAAAACAAAACAAAAAACTTAAACAAACCCTCTGCCAAGCTAAGAACTCATACTAATTCCAGAATCTCAGGGTCAGAATTTTTCAGTCTGGATGATAGGAATTTGGGCTTAGTTCAGCTATTAAGCTGGATGTTTGAGGGACAGGAAGAGATTAGGAATCTTTCTTTAAGCATCTGTTTTCTGTGAGTGGCATATTTTAATAAATAGGACAGATGATGAAAAGAAAGCATTAAGAATATCATTGAGGGAAACAAATAAGATCCTAGAGCAGGGCTAATGTTCTCTTGATATTTCCCGGGAAGTAAAATAGCTCATTTTGGTGGAAGAAAGGAACAAAATGGTACTAAATTAGTTAAGGAGTTTTTAATCTGCTTCTAATCTGGAGTAAATTTTATTAGGACGGGTTCATTGGAAGTATATGTTAACTCCTGCTATTGAGGCAAATTGCATCTTTTAAAGAGAGTGGTCCTAGCACGTTATGTGGGGCCTTTCACTTTGGTTTGGCTCAGGTTTGCAGCTGTGCGTGGGCCATAGTGAGTAAAATGATCTCCGGTGGGGTCACTGGCACAGCCATTTCTGTGCCAGTCGGACACCTCTCCTCTTGGCAACAGAATCTATTTGTCAAACAGTTGGAGAAGGTGTGGGAAAGATTTGCAGAATTTCCCCTAGAGATTAAGCCAGGCCACTTACCTAGAGTTTCATGACAAGCTCTGTGCTGATGGGGTTATTCAGAGCAAATCTAGGCTCTCTAGTTCTCTTTCTGGTGTGCTCAGAAGGGGACCCACGGCCTCTAACACCTTGGGCTCCACCCCAGCTCGAGGTCTGGTTCCTCTGGGGGCCACAACGAAGCCTTCAGATGTAGCTGAAGCAGCCCCCCAGGGAAGCCCTGTGCGTACAGACAGTGCACGGTGACTGTGACCTGGCGGCCCACCTTCCTTTCATTCCTCTTCTTGGCTTCCCGCAGGCTGGCACACAAGTCCTCAAGGGGCTTCGCTGCAGACAGAGGACACCTGACCATTAGGACTCGCAGTCAGAACGGGGGACGAGCGTTAGATGCAAGCATCATGTTCAGAATCACCTTCTGAAATAGCAGACACTTGTTAATGCCCTAAACTGTCTGACAGCACCCCAAGCCCCATGTCCTCAACTAAGACAGGCTGTGTGTTCTCTAAGCATCAAGCAGTGGCTCTCGATGGTGCCTGCACTAATCTGTTCCTATCCCTTTGCAGGACGTCCGGGGCGCAGGGCTCGAGGCTCACCGGTGCAGGCTGGGGCGGCTGCACGGTGTCACTGGTGCCAGAGGACGTGCTGCCTGGCTTCCTGGCCCGCGTCCATGCAGCCTACTACCAGGGGAGCGAGCACAGTGCAGCCCCAGGGCAGCACAGCCTGTTCGCCACCAAACCTGGAGGCGGAGCTCTGGTTTTCCTTGAGGCCTAAACAATATCAAAACTCCGAGAAACTATTTAGGGCATTTAGGACCTGGCAGGATTTCCTATGCCACAGTAAATTAATCCTCTCTCTGTTTTATATTATGATGATCAGTTGCTATTATCACGATGCATTTCCAAAAAATGGTTGAAACCCCTCTATGCTTCATAATGATTATTTTTTCCATCTTAAATTTTTTTTTTTTAAACCAATGTGAGCCAGAGATGCTGGACAGATGATTTACTAAGATTTATTAGTTTGGGATTTTAAGATGAATGGGGAAATACACTAATACACAGACTGGACTTGAATTAAACATACTGCTACAGTTAAGAGGATACAACTGAGTCATGTGTGTTTTTCTTGAATGGAGCTCACTTTTGGTTTCCCTTCACATTCTGCTCTTCCTCCTCTGACTTATAATCCTCTGTGGTTACTGCTGCTACAGATTCTCTGTGCATTTGAGCCTTGGTGTGCTGTGAAAATAATACATGATTAAGGATTCATAGATTTTTCTGCCCTCAGACACTTAAACATGAGATTCCCCAATTATCAAGATGGTAAGGACCACCTTTAAAGGATAGATGTAGGGAAAAAATTCAAGGCTCATTCAAAGCCTTTAAAAAACCATGTGATATCATTTTCCATTCCTTTGGTTCTATCACTTAATAGAAGAATAAGGAATTAATGAGATGACACTTCAGAAGATTCAGTTTGTTGATGGAACTTACTTTCTCCCCACTCTACCCGACCCTTCTCCGCACGTCTCCAATCCGAGAGGCTTTGTGTTGTGGGAATCCCCTCCCATGCCTCACACCCCCTTTCTGTGTGTGTGGCAGGGCTCGTTTGTGTGTGTGCACCGGTGCAAGGCAGTGTGCAGTTGTGTGGTGCAGTGGACTCGGGGCTTGGTAGTGGTTTTGGTGAGCACCCATGCGAATCTGTTGAGAGTGGGCAAAATGCCTGGCCTCGTGGCGATGGTGAATGAATGGCTTGCTCTTGTGGATAGGTTATAAGAACCCTTCCTCAGCTATATGATGATTTAGGCCAAAAAGTGTTGGTGTTTGGCTGAAGTACCCAGGTAGTAGAGCAATGGTTTTGTGACTTGAAATATCCAGAAAATGATCACAGTTTTCTGTGATTGTGTTCGCTCATTAATGTGCAACTCAAAGGTTGGGTCTCATCCTCTAAGTCTGTTTCAGAGAGGCTGAGGCGAAGGTGGTTGTAATGTTTCCTAAAGAACAACAGTTGTGCCAGGAAGCCGCAAGTCTAATCTCAATCAACTTTGGGTGCGTTTTCATTCTTAGCACAAAGGCAGACACCCGAGAGAGTGTAAAGCAACTTGCTGACAAGTATTTTAAGTCTTTAAACCCAATAATTCCAGGCCCGACTTTTTAATCTTTATAATGCTTTATTTTTTTAATACCTTGTCATTTTCCACAAAGGATTTGTACTTGGCATATAGTTCTTTAAGACACCTGCATCACTATGAAATGGCACGTTGTTGCTCTGTTACTTCATTTAATGTTTTTCACCACCGCATTCCTTTTTCACACATTTAACAGTATGTGACTAAACATTTGCAAGCACACGCCTGTGATCTCAGCGACTTGGGAGGCTGGTGCAGGAGGCTTGCATGTTCAAGGATGGCCTGGGTAACTGAGTGAGACTCTGCCTCAAACTAAAATACAAAGGGCTGGGGATGTAGCTAGGGTGCAGGGCTTGCCCAGCAGTCGCGCGGCCCTGGGTTCCACCCCCAGTGGATTCTAAGCTAGGGCTGCGCTCTGTTCATTTTGATTTGTGACTTGGGAAGAACTATGTTTTAACCCTGCCATTGGTAGGAATTACGAGGGGTTCCAAAGGGGTCTGAAAGGACAGGGCTGGGCCACTGTAGAAAAGCGTCCTGCAGAAAGGTGCTGGAGCGGAGCCCCGGAGGGTGGGTGGAGTTGGGCAGCCAGGGCTCTGCGGGGCGGGGCCTGCGGGGTCTGCGTGAGACTCACTGCTGTCTGGAGCCGCCTGTGGAAGAGCTCGGAGTCCGGCACCGCGCTTACTCCCGGTTGCGGGCTGCGTGTGTGCAGCACTCGGGTCTCAGTCCGCAGATCCTCCCAAGACTGCGAGTCGTGCAGCGCAGCCCTCACGAGGGCAGAGGTGGCCTCCCGGGCCTCAGTCCCTAGGTGCCCGGGACTCACACTCGCCGCTCACGCTCACCACTCTCGCGGTCCACGGCGCACACGCACTGTCGCGCATCCTTACACTCAGTGTCTGTGTGTCCAGGCCCAGCAGACCAAGAACAATGGGAGAAGTACTTTTTTTGTGGAAGTAAAGAATAGTCTGTTTAACAGAAAACTCCTGAGTGGTTCATGTTTTCTGTCACTTCCTGGCCCGATTCTGATCTGCACCAGCAATGAGAGCCAGGCTTTGTTTTTGACAGTGGGCTGTGCACTGCTGCCGATTGACCACCCAGAACCAGGGGGCTGAAGAGAAACGGAAGAGTCGTCCCTCCTTCCTCTCCTCACCCCGAGTCCTGCGTGGGACCTTACCACATTCTGCCTGTTGCTGAGCAGGGACCGGGACCGTTCCTTCCACCTGTCTGTCGGCCCCGACTCACCTCTGCAGTATTGGTGAGAAGTAAAATACAGCTGCAGTCACCTGTGATTTTCTACTCATTCGCAATTCAAACTGAACACATGAGGTTTTTAGCTGTATAAATTGTCCCTGCCCAGAAGCAAGGAGTGGAAAAAGTGAGTGTGAAGTTGTCACAAAGATGTGAAGCAGAGTTTGTCTTAAATATGCAGGTGGTAATTTGGGTGAGACCATGTCTTACTGATGAAATATGGCCGGGCCTGTCTGAGAAGCTAGAGAGAGAATTCTCAAGTACTTTCAGGAAGGCCCATACCACTTTATGCAGGAACTTCTCAAAGTCATTCTCAACTTCGAAAGGTTTCTTGGTAGCCTTTGTTTGGAGTCTAAGCAGGGAATAAAGAAAATCGGTAATCAAACTCATTATCTTATATCATTGAGTAACCAACATTTATGAAGAGTTTAACATGCTGTGCATTTGGTAAGCACACTGCATGTATTAATTCAGTGACGCTCACGACAGCCATGTGGTGTAGGGACTACTTTTATCCTACTTTATCAGCCAGGAGCATTCAGACAGCCGAGAGTGGGCGATGTGAACCCAGGCACTGGGACGAGGCTGGCCGCTGTGTGGCTCTCACCTCAGCAGTGGGGCACCCTCTTCTGACACTACCCACCAGGCTCTCTGGTGTGGACTCCGAGGAGCCATGGTGGGGGAGAGGAGTAAGACTCCAGCAAGGGAAGGACAGAGGGAGAAAGAGGAGGAGGAAGGGCTGATGTAGGGGCGGGTGCTTGCTAGGCTGAGTGCATCCAGGCTGGGGTCAGGGAATCTGTCCTGGTTCCTGTCCAAGACCTCATCCAGGAAATGTTTAGGAAGCAGTTGCATGCAGGGGCAGCAGGGTGAGGGCCAGGTGGCAGGCCAGGCAAGGCAGTGGAAGAGCTTGGGGCAAGGGTTCAACATTGATGAAATGGGTGAGGGAGAGAGAGGTGAAAGAGGGCATCGTAGAGTGCTGCTGATCTCATTGCAGTTTTTCCAGGAAACTGGTAGAGACGACAATTTGCTGGAGATCCCAAATGCCCCTTCTTGAGGCAGAAGTCTGGATGAGCTCAGCCCTGCCAGGGACCTTCTGGGTTTCTTCGGTATTTAGCCTGGGGACCCTGAGGGTTCGGTCTGGTGCCCCTTTGAGGACGCACTCAGTGCTCTGCCCCTCAGGAGCTGGTGCTCAGTGCCCTCACCTGGTTGCTTCTGGCTCCCTGCCCTCTGTGCCTCCCGTCTGCCCCACCACCTACACCTCAGGTCCGGTTCAGCCTGACTAAACCCACCTGCTGTCCTTTCTCAGCAGCACCTCTTCCAGGCTCTTTGAGGCCCACATTCTCCTCAGACTGGGTTTCATCTCATCTCGTTAAATTCAACCCATTTTCCAACTCGCTCTTTTAGGGCCCCCTTTCAATAATGGTTTTTTGAGATGGTCACACTCACCCTTCCGACATGTACACTCAAGGTTTCAGGGTGTTCACAAAGCTTTGCAGTATTGTCACGGTCATCCCTCCCCTCCTTTCCTCTCCATGAGTCTTTTTGGAGGATGACAGATGGAGCTAAAGTGTGAGCCTGTTGCTTCACAGCCCCCGGGATTTACATGTTCAATGCGTGTTTCCCCTTCATGCCAACCCACAGTGCACCATTATGTGAAACATCTGCATGCTGCTTGGAGCCCCAGGGAGCTCCCTGCAGCCTTCTGCACATGCTCAATGGTGGGAAACCCTGGCCCAGGTGGACTCGATATTGGAAACTTCTAGGAGTCACCCAGAATCAGACCTCGTGATGTAGGGGCGGGGAAGGAGACAGCCCAGTGATGAGGCTTTTGGTGCAGGGTGAGGTAAGATTCTGAAGTGCCGGGTGGGCCTTCCCCCGTGACAGGGAGTGAGAGACATGTGACTTGTGGCACCTCACTTGAGCCCAGAGCTGTCGGGGGTGTGGCAGTGCGGCTGGCCAGGCCCTGTCCCCAGGGCCTGTCTGCGGGCTGTGCTCATCTGATGCCTACTCCCTGCATGTGGAAGTGTGGGAGGAAGTGGGTTAGACTTGATGCTCCGCAGTTCTCCTTTTTATAGTCCAATTTATAAAATAAACAAGTTAAATTAGCCCAGTGTTTTGTAAATTAGATGATGCTAATGTTCAGCTACTAATTAAATTAGTAGGGTAGGTGATGTTTTGGATTAAAAAGTGTAAGGTGTAATCCTGGGTGAACTGTTAATAGAAATCCTCTCTGCAGATCATCTAGCTAATACGTTTTTACATAAGAAACCCAGTGTGATTTTGTGTAACACATTTGTCTGATTAACAGTGTTTTTAAGTGCTACCAAATCAAATAAGAAACAAACCTATGAACCTCCTTGTTAAGTCGTTCCTGTTGCTGTCTTAAGAATTTTATTTCTTCATTAATTCTTTGCATTTCTCTAGAAGGTCAAAATTTGGAGTTAGATTTTAAAAGAAAGCTGGTGATACTAGTTGTGGGGGAAAACAAGACAACAACTTACATGTCAGTAGAAGTCCTTTACAAACCAGTCCCTTCCCTCCCCACCTCTCTGGTGTGCGGAGTCTGGGTTAGAAACTCAGCGTTCAGGACCTGGGGCACGGCTGGGCTCCGCCTCCCCGCTTTTGCGGGCTCCAGCAGCCTCTGTCCCTGTGCTTCCCACGGAGCCCGGGCCTGGAGGGGTGCACAGTGTGTGGGTGTCGGGGGCTCTGCCTTCCTGCTCAGCCTGCTGTGTGCCCGGCTGGCTGCGCCTCATCTATCTCTTTGCTGTTGCTCCCAAAGCTGTGGGTGCCAGGTCCGCTCCCCTAAGCCAACAAAACCTTCAGGCCGTTACCTGGATACCAGGGACAGGAGAGTTGGATCCTGCCAATACTTTTTTCTTGTAAAAATGCATAGAGATCCTCTTGTAACCCATTCCTAGCTTTCTAGTACATAACAACACCACAACTGGGCACGAGCATTTGTATGAAGCACAAAAACCAGAAAATGTCCTTCAGGATGAATTTCAGAAGTGACCTCCCTGCCTTGGTTTCTTTGATACCACCGCAGGGTCCGCTCCGGCACGGGGTCCCTTCCACGGAGCCCACCCTGCTCTTCTTCCAGGGCGTGGCTCTGTGGGAGGAAGAGACTCCGCGTCTGCCGCCCAAGCCCAGGCCTCTCGACGCTGAGGGCCACCTCACCTACAGCAAGGCCTCCCCTCTCTGCAGCCCCGATGCCCCAGCACACATCCCTTACACTGACTGAGAAAACCTCTGGTCTCTGAGGCCTTCGGAGACAGCTCCTCTCATCAGTAAACAAGGAAGTAAGAGTAGATGATGTCTGTGACAATCAACAGTACTGTGGCTTGAACTTACATCTGAAAATCCCTTTGGTTGCTTGCAAATTGTCTTTTTGCCTCCTTTATAACATCGCAGTACGTTGGACCAGGCGCTGTGCTGGGCTTCTGGTTAAGGAAAGAATCCAGTGATGAACATTGCGGGAGGCTGAGGAGACCGTGAGGCCTGAGTGTCTCGAGTGTGAACGGAGTGTGGGTCGAGGTCGCATGGAGACTACTGGAGGGAGACACACCCTCACCCATTATCTGGGACACTGCATTTAATACTTTCATCAGGCCAGGGATTTAGCTCAGTGGTTTGCCACCTGCCTCGCAAGCGCAAGGTCTGGAGTTCGAGCCCCAGTACCAAAAAAAAAAACAAAAAACTTTCATCGGTTCTGTAATTATCTTGTGTTTTTATATACGTGTATTTCTGTATTTCTAAAGTAGTTTTAAATGTAAATATTAAAAATTGCCCAACTCTTTGCAACCCTGCTAGGCATTTTCACATACACTGAGAACCTCAACGTATGGACCACTGAGGCGCCCGGGCTGACTGGTAGCCCATGTGGCTGCCCCCGTCAGCCTGGCACCTGCCGACTGCAGGGAAGGAAGTGGGTCAGGAGGTGGCAGTGTGCGTGCTGTCCCCAGGCCGGGCCCTTGGCCAGCGGGCTTCTACTGCAGCCAGTGGCCATGTCTCCAGCGCTGGTCCTGCCCATGCTGTGCCTGGCAGAGCAGCAGTTGGCAAACAAGTGGCTGAAGCATGCAGCTGTTCAGCTTAGGGTCAAAGAGGATCTTACTTATCACAAAGACAAAGAATAACCAGTGTTGGTGAGGGGCAGAACGAGGGTACTGCTGGCCTTGCCAGTGGGAGTGAGGATCGGTTCAGCTCCAAGTTAAGGGCAGAAGGCCGAGTGTCTAACGGGCAGCCGTTATGGAGGTTTCTAAGGAAACGTAAAAGGAGAGCTACTGCATGGCCCACACAGTCTCTTGTGGCCTCGGCTGTGCCCCGGGCAGACACCCGCAGCCCTATTCACTGTGGCATCGTCACAAAAGCCAAGGTATGAGAAAAACCTACGCATCCAGCGAAGGACAAACCAGTACAGAAACAGCGGTGTAAACACACGCGGTGAGCACCCTTTGGTGGAGAAAGAGTGAGTCTTGCCATTTGCCACGAGGTGGATGAACCCGAGGATATTATCCAAAGAGAGACAGGCCCTGCGCAGAAAGAAAAACACTGCACGACCTTGCTTATATGTGGGATCTCATAGAGTTGACATACAAAGAGGTGGAGAGCAAAGCGGTGGTTCCCAGGGCTGGGGCAGCGGGTGCAGGACTCAGGGCAGAGGGCAGAGCAGCAGAGATGCAGGATGAGTGGGAGCGGCATGAACGCACTTCATGAGGACAGCAGGTGATGAAAGGGCTCTGTGTGCGACCTCGGCCTCCCTGCGCCTGGGAGCTGCCCTCACCTGAGCACCTCAGCGCTGCCTCATCCATCCCTGGCTGTGGTTTGCCCCTTTGAAAAAGATCACCTGCTGTCTCCAGGCTCTTGCTACTCCTTCTCACCTTAGCTGGTGTGAGGCCGTCAGGAGAAGCCCAGCGATTCTGGCCCCTGGGGAAAAGACCAAGTAGGCAGGTAGCCTTGTGGCCTGGATTTTCTGAGAATGGTATCCACTGAAATCCAGGCATACGTCAGTACTCCTTGGCTGCAGAATTCTTCAGGCCTGGTACTTGCTGCATTTTGATGGAAAAATGTAGTTGGGGGACAGTGCAGAGCCTCCCATTCCTGGCACCATCTTGCAGTTGTGTGCATTGTAAGTGCTAACCACGGGCCGCGGAAAGGTTGGGAGTCACACCTCCAAGCCCAAAGGGTTTATATTCGCCCCATGAGAGGCTCACATTAGCCCAGAAAAGTGGGAGCCTTCTGAGGAACTTCTGTAAGTTATTTCTACTGACATTTCTTAGGGGAGAAGTCACTCAGTACCTGTCGGTTTTGGAACTCGTTGCAAGTTCTGCAACAGATTCTGGAGGAGGACGGGCCGAGGTGTGACTGTAACTGAAAGGGAAGACGCGTCCCTTACAGAGACACAATGAACTTGAACATAGACATCAGTGTGTTCTACCAAGTTCTAAGTGATTCAGGAAGCATCTTCACTTGCTTAGACTCCAACACAAAGGCCTGAGGGTCAAGGAAGAGAACACCCGGGCTTCCTGCACACCAAAGGTTGCATTGCCAACCCCAGCAGACATGGGGCCTCCCTGCCGCAGGCCACATGGGGGTCAGCGGGCCCCTAACCAGCACCCTGTCTGCCGAGGGCAGTGGTGCAGACTGCACATGGTGTTGCACACTTCCTGCGCCTGAGAGGCTCTGGCTGACCATGTTTTCCACAAAAGGAGCAAAATTCTCTGAGTCTTCCTTTACCGCTGGGTGTCACAATGGCTTATGATTTAATGAGAGACGCAGGGCAGTGACAGTGTTGGCTCCCCGGGTAAATTCAGACCCAGCAGGGACACAGAGCAAAAAGAAGGCCCCCTTGGTGGCATGGAGGACTGATTCAAGAGCCTGCTGTCTTTGGGGCCAGCCTGAAGCAGGATTGGGAAGTAAAGTGTCTGTTGCCAGTGTCCTTTCCTCATCTCTCTTGGTCTCAGCTTTCTGATCCTCTTGGTCTTTGCCTGTCCTCGGTGCTGACACTGGCCACATTTCCCGTGAACCGCAGGAGGAGGAGGAGGTCTCCTCAAGATGGGGACCTTACTGCCTCCACCATGGTGGCCAAGCGAGTTCAGCGGGCTGGCTCTCCTTTTCCTTCTCAGCGAGATGTCCTTGCAGCACGATTTTCTATAAAGTAGACTAGAAGCCTAAAGTAGGCTACTGAGTTTGAACTGCTCACTGAGGGGATGGCAAAACTTGGAAGCATAGAATGGAACTTGAGATTTTGCAAAGCAAGAAGGGAGAGGGTTTGTTCACTAATTGGATACAGAAGTCAATGAGAGACAGGGAGAAGAAGCCACCAAATAGGGCAAGCATAATGATGGAGACTGGGAAGTCTGTTGACTACAGGGAATGAGAAAATATTTTAACAACAAGTGTGTTCGTTGGAAACTCTCAGTACATGCAGACAGAGAACAATGGGAGAGACAGGAACTTGAGGACTCCCAGAAGGGCTAGGTAAAACAGTGAGAATGGATGGAACACTGAGGGAGAATGTGAAAAGAAAGGAAGTACAAAGGAAGAGCCTAAAGGAAGACACACTGAGGGGATTAGCAGTAGCAGGATGAGCAGGAGTGTAAGAAAAAAGACAATGGTAGGAAAGTACTGGAGCTGGTACCATACGATGTCACTGAGGCCAAAAGAGAGGAATTATTTAAGAAACAAGTGTCAACTAAGTTGTAAAGGTCGATATGAAGACCAAGAGAGGTCGTTAAAGTGGCTGGAGTCGCTTATGCACTCAACAGTGTGCGACTGAGCCCCTGGGGTATGCTGGGCGTGGGATGCTGGAGATGCAGGCACACAGGTGTCCATGGGCAGAGGAGCGTCAACATCTTGGGTGTGTTTCGAGGGAATAGAAGGGATGCCAACAAATAAGGTCACTTAAAGGAGCGGCAAGCACGATAAGAAAAACAGGGCCTGTGATGGGAGGGCGGCTGGGAGTGTGGATGGGACACAGCACTAGACAGGCCGGATGACAGGAGATGCCAGAGAGGGGCAGTGGACAGGGCAGAGGGCTGGCAGGAGAGTCAGCGATGGGTGGGCACCAGGTCTGCCGCAGTGCTTTGTGGCCATGACAGTGCACAGCATGGGGTCCTGAAGCTCAGAGCTGGGGACGGGTTTACATCATGAGTGCTATGTGGTGAGGAGCGTGTGCAGAGTAAGAAAAGAGAGGTGAGTCAGGAGGAGATCTCGCGGCTGAGGTGGGAGGAAGCGGCAGTGCTTGGGGAAGGGTGGCAGGAGCGGGAAGAAAAGTGAGTTTCCAACACTGGAGGGTTCTGTAACTCTGGAGTATCTTCAAGCGGATGTCCTGAAGGCTGGGAATGATGACAGATCCTAGGATCTCCAACAGAGCAATCTGGGTGTGGGAGTGGGGGTGGCAGTGTGGGCCAGGGAGTCTCGCCTGGTGGCCGGCCCTTCAGTCACCCCATCCCAGTGAGCCCTGCCACCGGCTGATGGCACAGTTCTGACAATGCAGGTCCGGGGCCGGGCCCCCTGAGTCTGCCAAGCTGGCCCGCTTCCTGATCAGCACCTCCAACATGCAGACATCTTGGAGAGACCGTGTGTAAGACAGTGATGAACGCTGGGGCAGGAGCTGGGAATGGAGTGGAGATGAAAGGATGAAGCAGTCTTTGCTGGGCCTTCTGGTGCTTGCCCCCTCGCAGGAAAATCAACTGGAACTGGGCAGCCCGGGTGCCTTGCCCTCCAGGAGGAGGAAGAGAAGGGTGCACCTCGTGGCCTTGGACTCCAGCTAGCCCTGCCGTGAGGAAACCCAGGCCCAGCCTCCAGGCCGCCCAGAGTCGGGTGGGGCTCTGCGGCTCTGGCCTCTGCAGACTCAGACCCTGGCTCACCTCAGCCTCTAGGCCAAGGTGGCACTCACAGCTCTAGGTTTCAGGCCAACATGTGTGGGCGCAGCCTCCTCTGGACGCCCTGTGGTCAGTGTTTAGGCTCCTGACCAATGTGAGTGACCGGGGTCTTCACTTATGTCCCAGGAGCTCTGCCAATGCTGACCTGCTGGTTCCCTGGCAAAAGCCTCCCCAGGAAGCCTCCTCAGGGTGAGGGCTTCGTGGGGCCGAGTCCTGCTTCCCATGTGCTTCTGAGGGCAACTCATTGTCCCCAGGACGGAATCTTCACAGCACTGTGGGTTAGGGTCAAACAGGAGCAGCTACCAAATGCTAAGTGTGGCGCTGGAATTTTCACCTTCAAGTGACTCTTCCCACAACCCGTGTCAAAAATGCAGCAGTGTCTTCAGGAGTCACCTGTGTTTCATGAGTCTGATCACGTTACACAAATGACTTTCTCTTGGGATCTTCTAAATGACATTGCTGGAGTAAGTGTCCATACGAACCTCACTTTTTCCTTCACGGGAGCCAAGTCTGAATGGAATTATTTCAAAATGAAACATTCTTAGG